GTAGGAGTAACAGGTCTTACAGGTAGGAGGGTACTAGTGGGGAGTCCCCAGGGACGTGCAGCGGGGCCTTACGGGGGTGCCCAGTTGTGCTGGAAGTAGAAATTCCTCCTTTCCCAGCTCTGGAGCAGGAGCTGCCAGGCAGGGAGCAGCTGGAGCAGGATGGAGCTCCCTGAGGCCCAGGGGAAACACCTGCCCCTGCAGGAGGGAGAAGAGGAAGATGAAGAAGGTGCAGGGCTGGGGTTCCTGGGTGTCAAGGCTGGGATTCTTGGCTTGCAGGGCTGGGATTCCTGGGTTGCAGGGCTGGGATTCCTGGGTGTCCAGGCTGGGGTTCCTGGCTTGCAGGGCTGGGATTCCCAGGTTCCCCAAGTGGAAGGGCTGTGAACAGCTCCTGCACATCTCCACAGCTGAGGAGAGCTGTGAGCCCAGCCCCTGCTGCCACAGCCCAAGGGAAACTCCCCTTTCCCTGGTTTTTGTTCCCAAAGCCTCTCTCAGGGAGCAGGGCCCCAGCCTGGCAGCAGGAGCTGCCCCCCCTGCCCCTTGGGGCTCCTGCTGCAGCCTCAGCCCGGCAGGGACTGGTCGGGACTGGGAGCCACGGGCAGTTGCTGGTTCCTTGGCTGGTGGCAGAGCTGGGTGCAGGTCCCTTCAGCTGGGAATCTCCCTTCATGCCAAAATCCCATGGATCATTTTACCCGAGTTGGGATGTTTCAGTTTTAGCAGAGCTTTGAGGGGGGGAACTGGGATCATCTCCAGCTGCAGCTGCTTCCACAGCAGCAAGTTCAGCTTTTCCTTTTTAAACCTAATTTTAGCCTTTGCTTTTTAACAACAGCAGTTTTGGAAACAATCCTGGGCTGGTTTTGGTGACTAACTTGTGATTCTTTCTTCCTCTCCCGTGGTGGTACCTGGTGCCAGGCTCTGGGTTCTCTCCTGTTCTGTCCTGAGAGACTCTGAGGGAAACTTAGCGCATCAAGACTGTAACTAGTGACATTTGTACAACCAAAGAAATCTATTTTGTGGTTCAAGGATAATAAAAGTTTACTTTACATTTTAGAGCCTTTGCTCCACGTGGGGTTTTTTTTCTCCCCTGTGTGAGGAGTTTCTGTACCAGCACTTCAGTTCTTATCAGTTGGGTTCTTATTCCTACCAGTTGGGTTCTTACTGACAGTGACAAACTGGGGGTTTTCCTGCTTTTTCTGCAGGGATTTGGTGCTCAGCTGAGCTGCTGCCCAGGGCAGGAATGGCAAGAGTCACTCATGGGAGTGTTGAAGGGCAGGTTGGATGGGGCTGGGAGCAGCCTGGGCTGGTGGGAAGTGTCCCTGCCCATGCAGGGGGTGGGACTGGGTGGGCTTTCAGGTCCCTTCCCACCCAAACCATCCCGTGAAGTTGCAGCAGGGGAGGTTTAGGCTGGATATTGGGAGGAATGTCTGTCCTGAAAGAGCTGCCCATGGAGCTGGTGGAGCCTCCATCCCTGGGGGGGCTCAGGACCTCAGGGTGGGGGGGGCTTTTCTTGCCTTGACGGTCAGACTGGGTGATCTCAGTAGCTCCTTCCCAACCCTGACAACTCCTCCCACCCCCTTCCCCTGCTCCCCCCCAGGATGGGAATCCATGGCCTGGCCAAGCTGATCGCCGAGGTGTCCCCGGGAGCCATCAGGGAGCAGGACATCAAGGCCTACTTTGGGAGGAAAGTGGCCATCGACGCCTCCATGAGCATCTACCAGTTCCTGATCGCGGTGCGGCAGGGGGCCGAGGCCCTGCAGAGCCAGGATGGGGACACCACCAGCCACCTGGTGGGCATGTTCTACCGCACCATCCGCATGGTGGAGAGTGGCATCAAGCCTGTCTATGTCTTCGATGGGAAACCCCCCCAGCTGAAGTCGGGGGAGCTGGCCAAGAGGACCGAGCGGCGGGCGGAGGCTGAGAAGCACCTGCAGGAGGCTCAGGAGGCCGGGGAGGAGAGCAACGTGGAGAAGTACAGCAAGAGGCTGGTCAAGGTGACCCAGCAACACACTGATGAGTGCAAGAAGCTGCTGACTCTGATGGGGATCCCCTACGTGGAGGCCCCCGGGGAGGCTGAAGCCAGTTGTGCCACCTTGGTGAAGGCCGGGAAGGTCTACGCGGCTGCCACGGAGGACATGGATTGCCTGACCTTTGGCAGCCCCGTCTTGATGAGGCACCTGACGGCCAGCGAGACCAAGAAGCTGCCCATCCAGGAGTTCCACCTCAACAGGATCCTGCAGGACCTGGAGCTGAGCTGGGAGCAGTTTGTGGACCTGTGCATCCTGCTGGGCTGCGACTACTGCGAGAGCATCCGCGGCATCGGGCCCAAGCGCGCCGTGGAGCTGATCAGGGAGCACAAGTCCATCGAGAGGATCATCCAGCAGATCGACACCAAGAAGTACCCTCTGCCTGAGAACTGGCTGCACAAGGAGGCCCAGAAGCTCTTCCTGGAGCCTGACGTGGTGGACCCCGAGGCCGTGGAGCTGAAGTGGACGGAGCCCCAGGAGGAGCAGCTGGTGGAGTTTCTGTGCGGGGAGAAGCAGTTCAACGAGGAGCGGATCCGCAATGGGGTGAAGAGGCTGAGCAAGAGCAGGCAGGGCAGCACCCAGGGCAGGCTGGATGACTTCTTCAAGGTGACAGGCTCCATCACCTCGGCCAAACGCAAGGAACCCGAGACAAAGGGGTCAGCAAAGAAGAAAGCCAAGACCACCAACTCCAAGGCCAAGAAAGGGAAGTAGCCAGACAGGCCGACCGTGAACTCCCGCCGGTGGTTTTCCTGCTCAACCCGCAGTTTTAGGCTAATAACCAAGAGTTGCTTTTCTGTCCTGTGTGTTAGTGCTAGGAAAGGTGCTGCTGAAGGGCTTAGTGGAGCAGCATGTCTTCCCATGGCCTGGGAGGAGAGCAGAGAGCTGAAACACCCTGGAGCACCCCAGGGAGTCGTGTCCAAGGACAGTGTTTATCCATTTCAAATTTGGAGGAGGAGGCCACAGGGAGCAGAGGTGATACCTGGGCTGGGGAGGGGGTGGGAGGAGGCACTGATCACAAACACCTGTGGTTCCAGAAGGAAAAAGTTCAATCCCTGGGGAGTGAGGTGGGAACAAAGAGATTTCTGCCTGATAATCCATCCAAAAAGAGGTGGAAGGAGCAGGGGCTGAAGGAGAAACTGGGGAGAGGGGAGTGGAAGGCAAGGCTGGGGTTGGGAAGGACTGGAAATCATGAGGGAAACACTCCCTTTAACAAGGACTGGGGATCATTTCTCTTTTCCTTTTATTGTAATCACCAAACTCCCAATTCCAGGGAAATTCTGGCCCACTCT